TCACAGCTTCCAAATACTATGGAGACAATGAGCTTTCTTAACCACCTAATCTTTTCTGAACCCTCTCAAGTGTCTTGTGTATCTCTATTGAAAATGGACAGCAAATGTATGAATTATTTAATGTCTTCATGCTACTAAAAGAAATTTGTGTCACAAAGACAAAAGTCTAACAAGTATAATAGACATTGTAGAAGCTAGAGAAAAAACACTTGAGCAGGTCATCATGCTAAACATGGCTTTCTGACTACAGTCCTTATGCAAGCTCCTCTTTGAGAACATAAAGACGAACCCATGGAAAAGTTCAATAATTCCATCTTACATGCAGAAAATCTGGCCCCTAATTTTGTACAGAATCATTAGAAATGATTGATTTCTTTGATTCACAAAGACAGTATATCTCAAAGCCAGGACAGAGGTCTGGGTAGAGCCAAATGATCTCCTATGAATGTTTGCCAAAATCCTCCAGAGACAACGCTTCACAGTAGGGACATATGGGCTGCAGTATAAAAAAAACACTGGTGGGGAAACTTTTCTAGGATGGCAGAGAATGGCGCTAGTTCAAGCCCTTCTTGTAACCAATATAAACTGTAAAGGTGGCATATGGATTGGAATACTGTCCCAAGAAAATATTTGAGTATCTCCAAAAGGATCTTACACAATTGCATTCCCTCCGTGGGTCATGAATATGTACTAGTAACAGTATTTTATTTTCTGCATGGGTTGAAGCACTCTCCTGTTAGAAAACCACAGAACTCACAACATTTACAAATCAACTTGATTTTGTGTTTATGCCATTTCAATTTACCTCTTATAGGGGAGCAAATTTCTCTGGGGCAGTTATGTAAAGTGTTGCCTTCACTCAGAGACTTCACCTTTCTTGTTACCTCTCTATTCTCTAAAAAAGTGGAAAGAACAAGTGGAATATTAAAACTGAAATTAGTTACTGTAGCAGACACCCTGGAGCTCCTATGGCCTAATGCCCTATTAGCCTTAGCTTTCTTGGCCCTGCATTCTTCCCCTCACTAAGTCGTGTGTTGTCTTACTATGAACTGGTCACTGATAGGCCCATGTAACTCACAATATGCCAAAGCATACACATTCTAATCTTTCATAAACAGAACTAGATAAATGAACCCATGATACTCAGTCTTTTCGTCACAAGCACAGGCTGATTATCTAGATTTTTGTTTAATTAGCCTATACGTGATCTTAACCTGGGTGACTCGGTGCTCTGAAAAAAATCCCTGAGAAAAGCTGCCATTGAGCTTCTGGAAATTACCGTGTTAGGTACTATTTATTACCAATTCAGCAGATGAAGTACAAGAATTGATCCCTGGTTACATGATTACCAACTAGTATAACATCACACATCCTTAATTGCCAAGAATATAAGTTACTTAAATTAGAGATCTTAAACCGAGGTTCTCCAGAGAATGGTCAGAAGCAGACAGTCCACAGAAGGTGAGTGCTGACCCATGCTCCTTGAAACAAACATATAACAACATAAACTAGACAGCTCCATCCAACACTACTAGAAGAGAATTCTAGAGGTTTGTAACCACTGACTGTCATACTCTCCTTTGCATTCTTTTGTATTTTGTCCTTTTAGTGGTATTTCCCCACTTCAATACTAGAATGTTTCATATTTCTGATTTAACCTACTTTTTTCTCTTACTAATAAAATAATTTGCTAAGATATTGGCTTTACTTGATGCAATAACAACCCTAATGCTATAATTCAGCTCTACAAAACCATTGGTAGTGCAACAAAGTAAAGAATTGTTGGATATGGCATTTAATGTCAACTTCTAGGAAAGCCAAATAATAACCATACCCAAATCAATATGGCTAAGTGAATTTTGATCAATAAACTTATTCTTAAAATGATATAAAAATTTAGACTAGAGTTGGTACAACTAGACTTACATAAAGAATATATCTCAACCTGACTATATGCGTTGGTTCAACACTCTCTGAACCACTCCATTATTGATCACCATAGTGTTTCTTTTGTGAAACTATAAAGCAAATCTCCAATGGAATTCAAACACTGGAAATTTTAAGTTATTCCTACAAAATGATTTAAAAGTTCGAAACCTCGGGCACAGAAAGGACTAAGGGTGGTGGCAGAGGTAGAGATCATGCATATGCCCAGTGGCATGTGCTTCCTCTCATCAATATTCAGACTTCTCAAAAGGTTATGTAGTGTATGGTTACATTCACACAATTTTCTTTAAAAGGTAAAAATATAAAAGAACAAATCAAGATTTGCAATGAGTTAGGGAAGGGGAGGTGTGTAATTACAAAAGCATAGCACAAAGGAATTTTGGGGAGCAATGAAACTGTTCTGTGTCGTGATTGTGTGCCAGTTACATGTCTATACAATACATTAAAATTAAAAATTCACAGATATAACTATACACAAAAATAGTCCCTTTTTCTATGTAATTTTTACAAATAAAAATTAAAAACAAAAAATAAAGTAATTGATGTGGTTTCTTTTTTCATGGCTGGATTCTGCCTTATATGTATATTATTTTCTCAAATTGGAAAAGAAAAACACTAGCAATGCCAATTGTGTGGGTAAAATAATGAGTAAAAGAAAAACAATGAGGTCTTAATCCTTAAAATCTGGTACTGTTACCTTACATGGAAAAAAAATATTTGAAGGAATTAAGCTAAGGATCTTGAGATGGGGTATAATCCTGGATTATATGGGCCTAAAAGCAATCACATGTATACCTCTAAAAGATGCAGAGGGAGATTCGACTACTAAAGAAAAGAAGCCAATGAGAAAATGGAGGCAGAGACTGGAGTGATGCAGCCACAAGCCAAGAAATGCAGCACCCACCAGAGCTGGAAGAGGCAAGGAACAGATTCTCCCCTAGAACCTCTGGAGCGGGTGCAGCCCTGCTAACACCTTGATTTCAGCTCAGTGAAAATAATTTCAACTTCTACCCTCTAGAACCATGACAGAATAAAATTCTGTTGTCTTAAGATACCAAGCTTGTGATAAATTGTCCAGAGGCAATAGGAAACAAGCACACAAACCGTGGCAAAGGTTGAAAGCTTGGATGTGTCTGGATCTGAACTAACTTTGTACTGACTCTGCACACTCTTGCTAGAGGATTTCTTGTCTTCTGTTGGATAATTCTCGCCTAAGTCTGATAAAGCACTTAAGCCTAGAGTAATCACAACCTCTCTCTTCTAACTTGTGTTTAAGAAGAATAAAACAATAAAAATATAAGCCATTCTTCCCTCTCACTCTGTTATCAGTCTCAGAGAAAATGGACTAATCAAGACTCAACTTGCTTCTACTGGATAGGTGATAGTGGTTTTAGTTAGAAAAATAATCAAAGCCAGTTGATGGGCTGGGCTACAATACTGACCTTTCTTCTTCAGATGTTTTAAATCTAATTTAACCTAATGATTTTCCCTATACGAACAAAGCAGTTAACTAATAGCTAACAATCATAACTCAGCCAAGAAGTATCATCTCACCACACCAATTGCCAATTATATCCAGCCTGAGGAAGACTATGAGGGATCTTGAAATATAGCCTACACTTTACCAGGTGTGGGACAATGAGGGAATTAATTTTTATGTAAATTTTTGTAAATTTTTTCTTTAGCTTGATTTATCTACAACATTAGAAGAATTATATCTTTTTAAAAGAAACTTGTGGAAGTAATGTTTAATTCAGTCAAAACATAAAGACGAGGCAGGGAAATTTGTCATAAGCGATCTCTAAAATGAACACTAATTCAAATTCCTTCTGCAATCCACTAATAAGAGTTGAGTAAGGTGGATGATAAATGTTTTTAAAAAGTTTTCCCACATACTCAAGAAAGGAAGATTTCAATCATAAGTGTAATAATAAAAATTAAATGTCTAGGAATAAATTTAATTATCTTAAAACAGTAGAAATTCATGGAGAAACACATAGATAAATGGAAAGAAACACTGTATTGTTTTATAATGAAATCTACACTTTCAGGAGTTTATTCTTCACAAGCCAACTTATAAATTTGAATCTAAAAGCTTAAATTACAATTTTGAATATATAGCAGTATTCACATTTTCCTTCTTTCTTTAAGAAACATCTACTGATTATCAAGTGTGTAAAAAGTGTGTGCAATGTAGTAATGACTAAAAGACACAACTGTTCACTGCCCTTCTAAATTCTATGGAGTAAATGTGAACATGCAGTAACAAAATTTTGAAAAAAAAAAATAGTTTTGTGAGTCTAATCCTAAACTCACATTCTTGAATAAGTCACTTCCTACTTTAATTTCTCTCAAACACACAAATAATATATACATCACTGGGCTCTAAAGGAAAACCCAAGTCACATTTGCTCAACTAGAAAGTAGTCAGAGCACAAATTTTATCACAAAAATATAGAGAGGAAAAAGATAAAAATATAATTGTGACATCAAATCTTTCACAGAGCTATTAAAAAGCAGGTTTAAGAGGAAAAGGTGATAAAACTAAGAATGCTCAATTCAAGATATGATATTAAGTGAAAAGATCAGAATCCTAATTATGCCATAATTTAGGAAGAAATTAAACTGAATATTACCAATAAATTATCGAGGTACAGAATTATCAATTCCACGTTTTTACATTTTCTATATTTAGCATGCAATGTTTTATAATCAGCAAAAAAATAACACGCAATTTTTGAAAGACAAGAGTTAAAAATTCACCAATAATAGGAATGTGATATTGTTACTAAGGATTTATTTACATGAGAAGAGTCTGAATAACAAATGTAAAGTCATCTTTAAAGACTGAATTTCAAAATAAAACATTATTAATTCCCTTCATGAATCAATTAGGCGACAATCATCCAACAAAATGTTCTAACCCTTTCCGGGTCACCTTGAACCTAACATTCTTATTATACGCTTTTGATGTCTAATACATTAGTATCCGCTTGTAGACAAACGATATGACAAACGCTATACTTCAAGGTATGGGCCAAAGTAAAGGGGGCTGCCCCAGTCACAGGTTTGTGTACAGGTTGCAGGTGCCTGGGAAGCAATGTGTACTCGCTGCACAGAAGTAGACAGCTGAGTCTCCAGGATGAGTGGCTGCAATGTGCAGGGAGAGATGTTTGGCTGTCTTATCCAATAAAACAGTGAGTCTTTGGTCCTCTTTTTCCTTCATAATTGAATGAATGTCTATAACGTGCTGGGGACCTTTTCCACGTTCTTGCTTATACCAAGAGAAGTAGATTGAGGCACTGTTTGAATAAGTACAGTTGATAACAGAGCTGTTTCCCTCCTGGACACTCAGGGTAGAAGGATGCTGCTCCACATTCTCTCCTCGGCTCAAACCTATGGAGAAAGAAAAAGTAAGAGAAAGGAAAAAGCTTGCCAAGTCATTAAATTTTCTTTTCCTTTCTATGGAAACTAGAGGAAACCTGAAGAAAGCCAGTCTCCTTTTTGGACTTCTGAAGAATATCTTCTAATATAATGTGCTTCCCCCAAATCCCTCAACTCACAGTCCAGCTGCAGCCACAAGAACGGGAATAAAGCTTGAATGGATGTCTTCATTGTTCCTTCCAATTAGGATTAACTATACACTTGCAATCTCCAGCCAGCAGAGCTACTTCTGTTATCATATTGACCCTTCTTTTCTCTAACATCATAGTGGTTTCTCACATTGTCTACCCAGCCAATAAGAAAAAGACTTAGCTTCTGCCATAAGCCTATTCATTCAGAATCCACTAAAATGTACCCTTCACATATTCTGCATCAGCAGAGGTGCACTCCCATCTTGTGGTCACATCTTTAACTATTATTAACTATTGAACTCTCTGGTTAAATGCTCTTATCTTACCTTGTGCCTGTGAATAACTCAGATGCATAAAGAGAGCAATAGGTCAAACAAATTAGGTCTTAGATCAGAGATTAAATGCACAGTAAGAATGTAGAGATCAAGATTTATATCTCTGTACACTATTGAGTCATTGTTAAAAAGTTGGAAAGAGGTGGATGCTGTTTCTATTTATTTAATAATGGTCCTGGTACACATGTTTGAAATCAGGAAAGCACCATGATTTACTCTCTTAAACAAAGAAAATACAGAACCTTCCCCTTCAGCCAAATCTACTATCCTCGTTTGTCTGTTATGGAGAAAATCTCTTTCTAAAAGGAACCCAAAGCCAAAGATGAGAGAAATAGAGAGAATTTCATTCACTATTCCAAATACCTATTATCTCAGACTCTGCTCCTCTAAGCTGGCCTTGATCTTCCCAGAGAATTGACAGTACCAATAGTCAAAATGTGGAAACTTCCTTCAGTAAAGATGATTATGATAAAAGATCAAATCTCAAAGATAAGGGAGCAGGGGGAGAAGTTCAATGAGTTAGGACACAGTTTGACCCATAGATTGGGTTGGTTTGCAATGAGAAATGTAAAATGCTTTAAAAAATCTATTCCTTTTGCTATGTGGATTATATACTGCAAACTATTGAGAGAAAGAGTAGAAATTCTGAGAAAATATTAGGCTGCAGACTCATAAAATGTAACCATATGTAAGTTTACTCTACAGGTGCTTTTATTTTCTGATATCAAAATGGATGGCGTATCCTAAATGCAATGGCTGACTCATATCCTTAGTAGAATTTCCTCAAAAGTATAAGCCACCGTTCCTGGCGTGGATTTCTGCTGGCTTGTCTATTGCTTGCTGAACTTCTGTACTCTATCAATTTTCTCCCAAACTTCACTACGATGTTCTTTCTGCAAGACAGTGATAAAGTGCTTCAGTCCTGTAAACTTCCGGAATTATCTCCTTCTGCCAATTATCTCTCATCTACTTTATTAACTTGGTATTTTCCAATTACCTCTGTAAGAAAAAAAAATCTAGGAAAGCCTAAATATTGCCTGAGTCTGCTCGGAGAATACTACAAATGAGTAACTGATCCTAAAGAAACGATCATGATAAGTGATCCCTGGGAAAGCAAGAGTACCTCATTTCCAGAAGTGGAAGCCCCTTTCCTATGACTTGTACTCAGTGATCCTCTGGAGTTACAGAGAATAAATATAATCTTTCATCCACATTTCATATCCTTAGAGTTGAGAACAGCTATGATGAAGAATCACAAAAACATATAAATTTGTATGTAACTATAAAATGTGTGTTTTTACAAATATAAAACTTCTCCATTCTAAGGATCTTCCTATATTCTCTCATCCATCTTCCATAGGATAGAATTCCCAAATCCTGTACCAGGTAAATTTCCCTCCTCTTAGAGACAGGTAGTTTAGGTCAATGTTTGCCATTTTGAGTTAGCTATCCAGAACTGAATTTTATAGATTGAACATGCTCTGTTCAGCACAGAGTTCCGTATGTTAACTACAGCAGTTGACAACTCCCTGGGCATACTGGACCACAGCTTTCACAGACCTGAACTTCAGAGATCTGACTGCCTGAGCTTGCATTAGACAGTTTCTCTTTGCTCAGCAGTATGGTCCTACAGGAAGAAAGCAGAGGAACGAATTCTAAAGAGGAAGTGAGGAAATCCAATTTCTTTCTACTCCCATATCTGACAAACAAGTGTGAAATATAAATTCTAGCAAGTCTAGAGCAGATGTATTTATGGAATAATTTTTCTATAAATGATTTAATTCTTCACACCAATCATTCATGTAAATCAGAATTTAAAAGTGGCTTCATAATTTGTGTATAATTCAGAATGCTTCTTTATGCATCCTATTACTGTGTCTTAATTAAAAAGAAAACTAATTTTAAATTATCTTCTGTGTTAATTGGTTCGTTGAATTAGTTCAAACTTCACGTGGAAATGGTATTCTTTTCATTGAAGCTATTATCTTTATATTTAATTTCTATTTCTAAGCCTATGGATATTTGTTTCCCAATGTTTCACCAATTTTCAAAATCAGAGTTTCTAAACTTTTTGAGAATTCTATTACCTCCCTGATATGATTTTTATTGTAATGTCCATGTATACACTTTTATTTGTAATAATGTATCAACAAGGTTTACTACCACCTCCTTTAGGGCTCCGCTGTGCAAAGGCTACTGTGGGGGCAACATTCCCGCCCCATGGAAGGGGTGGGGCTGCAGGCCCAGCTGCAGTTTGGCTGCAGGCTGCAGAGCATCTGGGAGCACTGTGTCTCCACTGCACAGAGGTAGGTGGCTGAGTCTTCCAGTTGGGAGGCTGTGATGTTCAGGGTACTATACAGTTCCTTAGAATTCATTGTGGAGTTTAATCTTCCATTCTGCTTCATCCCTGAAGTCATGAAAAACAGACTTATGAGGCTGCCCCCAGGATTCTGTTGCAACCACTGCATATAGCTCACGGTGGTACAAAAATTGCACCTCAGAGTAGAGCTGGTTCCCTCCTGGAGGCTCAGGGCTGAAGGACTCTGCTCCACCTTCACCCCTCGCACCCCTGCTTGGAAAGAGAAAAACAAACACAAATGATGTCACTGGAGAGACACTGCAGTTTCTAAACCTGTACAATATCCCAAGAAACACCCATGAAGACCCTCTAGGAGCTCTGTGTCAGCTCTCCCTTCTGGCCCTCCCACTGTCAGCGGTGGAACACTCCCCAGCCCCCCATCTGGGATGGCCCAACTCACAGCAAACCTGGACCCAGAGAAACCCCAACAGAGTTCCCCAGAGTCTCCTCATGACCCCTTGCTCTGTTGCTGAGGTGCCTTCTCCTGACTCTGGAGAGTGTCAAGTCTTGGGTCCAGGCAAATTTTGTTCTTATGGTCAACATGTTCCATCAGAATCACTGAGCACCTATCGCATCTGAGCTCTGTCATTCACTTACCAGGAAACTCCACCCACAGCATCCTGGTGAGACTGCACAGTGCTCTCTCTAAAATTGTGGGCATGAACAGTGCAGGGAGGTAGGGGCAATATTTCCAATATATGAAGTTATAAAGTGCTTTTTACTTAAAAGATTTTATGTAAGAGAAGTTTGTAGGTTACTGGGTGAAGAAGAGGGGATCATAGTTCTAAAAAGAATCAGGATCTCAACTGGGTTAAGTAGAACCTTGAAGAATCATGAAGCCTTTAAGTAGAGCCTAGGAAGAGTGACCCCATTTCCCAAATTGCATAGTTTGACAGAGAATTAAAAACCCAGTTACAGAGGGATGTGCAACTATGATGTACAACTATCTACTGGGGCATTGGGGAGAAAAGGAGAAAAAAAAGAAAGGAGGAGGATTGGCAATAGATGTTAGCTCAGGGCTGGTCTTCCTCAGCAAAAAGAGGAGGATTGGCATTGATGTTAGCTCAGAGCTGATCTTCCTCACAAAAAAAATAATAAATAAATAAAATCCAGTTACATGTAAATTCTGACAGAAGAAAACAATCTGATAGCATGCATTGTGTATTGAAGAAAAAAATATATTTTCTTGAAATCAGGAGACTTCCAGAAACCCAAGACACAGTCACCATCTGCATAGAAAACCAGTCTAAAAAGAGTTCAATTGGTGAAAAATAACATATGTATATAACATCCACTCTGACTTAATTTCCACCTCTCCCCTTCTCCTGTCCAGAACCACACAGCTGATTCTGATCAGGCCACACATTGTTGGTCAAGTTAAATATTGTCTTTTTCCTTACCTTCTTGTATTCATGTTTCTTATTTTTTTATCTTTTCTTCTTCTCTCCTTGTTATTCTTGTTCCTTCTACGCTCAGAAGAGATATATAAAAAATGTAGGATGTCTCAGGTATAGGAATACTTTCTAGTTCCATGGATTTTGGGAACTTTAGTCATAAAAATAAAAAATTGAAAACAGGTAATGCAGATGTTTTCTGTTGAGCTTCCATGCTCACAGTGCCCAGTTATATTCCTATTCCCATACCTGTGCTCAGAGAATCATCCTTACAATGGATTTATAAAAATATGGGCTCCAGCTTTCTGAGGCTTATATAGAATGACAGAACTGAAAACCTGAGATAAACTTTACACAAACACTGTTCCCCCTCTCCCCACCTTTGCTGTCTATAATTTGACTGGCTCACATGCTCTCTGGTCTCCTTTCTTAACTGTTCAATGCTCTGGGACCATCAGAAGAGTCTTCTTTTCTTATAAAACCTATAGTGCCCCCTTGTGGACTCAAGTCATCAACAAAGACTGCTTCAGACCAACTCTCTCAGCAGTCACACAACCCCAGCTAACAGGTATATAGAGGGACAAAATGACTTTCCATATCAATACCCAAGTCAAATGTCAAGGGATTTGTTGATTTACAGAAACACTGAGGGTTCTGCAACAGGTCCAGGCTGCTATGCAAGCTTCCCTCCACTTTGGTCATATGACACAGCCATTTTAACCGTGCTTAATGTGTCTATTGAGCCTTTGGTAGGCCTCTTAGGTGAATTACAGAGCAGACCTTTAGGATCTAGGAACAAAGCCATACCTTACTCTGCAGATATGCTCTTTTTGAGAAGCAGCTCTTGGCTTTTTACTGAGACTTAGTAGAGACTAAGTATTTGATCATGGACCACCAAGTTACCATGCGACCTGAAATGCCCATCATGAAGTGGGTGTTGTTTGACCCACAAAACCATAAATTTGAGTATGCATAGGAGTGGAAGTGGTATATGTAGATCAGGCTTGAGCATTTCTTGAAGGCACTTGTCAATGGCATTAGTAAGTGGCTCAGATTACCATTGTTCCTAATTCTGAATAGGAAATAATTTTAGTTCATCTTTTTTATGTTTGTATTCCTAGCAACTGTTCCAGTCTCTTGCACATGGAATATATATATGTGTGAATGAATAATTCATTTGAATTAATTATGAATGAATAAATAATTAATTAATGAAAAGACTCTATGACGACATTTCTGCTTGATGCTTTCATCTTTTAGTGTGACGTTTCACAACAGTAGTTCTTGTAACTTTTTATTTTTATTGCTTTTTTACTATACAAGGAAAACAAATTTATTGAAGAAAAATTGGAAAAAAAGAAAGCTAAAGAAGTTACCCTGAATTCAACTACCGGGAACAACTATTGATAACATTTCATGTAGATATTTTTAGACCACCACAATCAATAGAAATACAATGTGAGCTACAAACACAATTTTAAATTTTTCAGTAGGCACATTAAAGGAAAGTATAAAGAAATGTATAAAAGGAATTTTAATGATATATTTTATTTAATCCTGAATTTAACCCTTTTTTAATTTATTAAACCCAAAAAATTATTTCAACATATAGTCAATACAAAAAATATTGATGAGATTGTTTACATTCTTTTCTTCATACTATGTCTTTTAAACCTGGGGTATATTTTACATTTATGGCACTTCTCAATTTGGACTAGACACAACCCAAGTGTTCAATAGCCACATGCAGGTAGTGGCTATGTATTGGCCAGCACAGTTGAAGACTCATTTTAATGTACAGTCACGTGCCCATAATGATGTTTCCGTCAGTGATGGATTGTGTAGACCACAGTGGTCCCATGAGATTAGTACCTCCCATATATTAGTACCATATAGCCTAGGTGTGTAGTAAGCTATACCATCTAGGTTTATGTAAGTACACTCTTTGATGTTCACCAATGACGAAATCGCCTAATGATACGTTTCTTAGAATGTATCCCTGTCATTAAGTGACGCATGATTGTTTATATGATGATACAGCTATATATAAAAATCAGAATTCTCTCTCCACATAAATTAGGTCATATGAACCCTACAGTTTTATAAATTTTTAAGGTAAAGCTTTTATTTTATAATAGTTTGGGACTTACAGAAAATTTGATAAGACAGTACACATAGTTTCCATATACCCACACCCAGTTTCCCGTCTTATTAACATCTTACAATGGTACATTTGCCACACTTAATAAAGCAATACTGACACATGGTTATTAACTAAAGTTCATATGTTATTAGATTTACTTAGATGTTACATAACGTCCTTTTCCTGTTGCAGAATCTCACCTAGGGAACCCACCACATTACATTTAGTCATCATGTCTCCTTAGGCTCTTCTTGCCTGTGACTATTTCTCAGACATTTCTTATTTTTGATGACCTTGACATTTTCAAGGAGTATTAGTCAGGTATTTTGTAGACTGTCCCTAAATTTGAATTTCTCTTTTGATTTACTCATAATTAAACTAGGGTTAGGGTTTTTTGGGAGGAAGACTGCAGAGGTAAAGTGTCATTTCTCATCACACCATACCAAGGGGACACGCTATCAACATGACTTCTCTCTGTTGATGTTGACAGTGACCATCTGGCTGAGGTAGTGTTTGTCAGATTTCTCCACTGTCAAGTTACTCTTTGTTCACCCTTTTCATACTGTCCTCTTTGGAAGGAAGTCACTGTGTGCAGCCCACACTTAAGGAGTGGGGAGTTATGCTCCACTTCTGTGTGTGTGGAATGTCTACATAAATTATTTAGAATTCTTCAGCATGGGAGATTTATCTATTCTGCCTCATTACTTATTCGATAATTTATTTATATCAGTGACTTACAGATATTTATTTTATACTTTGGGTTATTACTCAATGCTACTACTTCATTTACTTTATTGCACAAATTGTTCCAGCTTTGGTCACAGGGAGCTTTCTCAATTGGCTCCTATGTCCCTTTTGCACAGCCCCATCATTTTTTTTTTTTTTTTCAGCTCTATAGAGTGCTCCAGGCTTATCTTTCATATTCCCTGCTCCAGCCCTAAAATCAGCCATTTCTCCAAAGAGCTCTGGTTCTTTTTATTGGAAAATGCAATTAGAAACTGAGGTATGGGATTTAGTCATGCTCATTGCTCCTGATGTATCCTCAAAAGCATCAAGGTAGAGAAAGAAGTTAAATAGGTTTTGAAAGATGATGAGCCTCCGAAGGTAGAAATGGGGAGGAAACATATTGTAGGAGAAGCAAATAGCAGGAGCAGAACTTTGGAGTTGGGTAAAAGACAGTCTCTCAGGGAAACCAGAGTTTTGAGCAGGCAAGATTCTTTGGAGGGACACTTTACCGTGGTTAATCTGGCAGCACTAAGCAGGGTGAACCTGAGCAGGAAGAGTCTGAAAGGGGAGACAACAGCTAAATGCCCAGTGTAGTAATTCAGGAACAAGTGTTCAATTTGTCCCTCCTCCTTACCACACTGGGTGAAGTGGGAGGAAAGAGCTGAACAACTGCTCTAATCTGAACACTTTGAGGAGTTGTATACTATCTGAACTGCAGTGAACCAAAAATTTTTTAAAAAAGTAATTTTAAAGTATTTTGTTTGGTTAGTTCATTTTGCCCAACGTCATTTTTGTTAGTGTTTTTAGTTAGCTCTCTTTTGATTGCAAGTGATAGAAAACCCAACTCAAAATAGCTTAAAAAAGAAAAAGAAATTACTTGTGTTGTGTTGTTGGTGTCCCATCTAGATCCCCTTGTGTTTCACTTCACTGCAGTGCACCCTGCAGACTTCCTCCTGCCAGCACTTGAGTTTCTTTGCCTAAGGGCTTTCTCTTACTGCTACAGCCTGCTAAGTGCTGGGGAATTACCACTCCCAGGAGCTGTCCTTGACCAATGACATACAGGATTTGGGGTATCAATACCTTAGCTTATTTGGCCCTCAGGTATGATAACTTGAGGAAAGGGTTCACACTGGTTCCCAGAGATTCCCCAGCAGGGTTATACTCCGGGTGTGTCCACGGTGGCAGCTGGCTTGAGAACACACCCTTTATTGGCTGATTTCCCTTCCTGTCACTCTCTCCTATGCCCCTGCCATGCATCCTGGATCACCTCCCAACTAAACCACTTGCACCTGAATCCCTGTCTGCTTCTGGAGGAACCCAAGCTAAGGCAGCTGGGGTGCACAATTGAAAATCCCAGGTAGATTTCCTCTAATCACAGCAGGGACTGGGGCCTCAATCAATGTTAAGGGAACTCAGTTTCACTGTCTCTTTTCAGGATCCTGCTCTTTCCTGGTGGTGGGAAAAGGCCTGGTGGCAGCTTTAGGTTTACATCCTAGCTCCTTACATCCACAACAGCACTCCCAATAGTTCCATATTGAGTTTTGGGATGTGGGCTTGGGTTATGTACCCATTCTTGAGCCAATCATGGTGGTCAGAGAGATGAATTTGCTAATTGGCCAGGGGTTCAAGGGCAGGGTCAGCCTCATCCAAACCCAAACATGGGTAGGAGGAGGGGAGGCTTGCTCATCCAGGGAACATCAAGGCATTGTCACCAAAAAGGAGGAATGGATGTTGGGCAGGAAGTAATGAGAGATGCACTCCTTCATCGACTACACTTTCATCCTTAGGCAGCAGATTCAGAGATGAAAATGCTCTCAAGGTTGGGGTCTTGTAACCATAATTCTTTCTTTGATACCAACTGTGAGAAGATTGTTGCTAGAACATTCATTAGCTTCCTCTCTAGACCCACCAGTGCCGCTCACCATGCCTTCTGTCTACCCTCTTCCTGTCCTGTGGGTTGTTCTCTCCCAGGCTTCTGGAGCAGCTGGCTGTCTCATGCTGAGACTTGGGGTTTTTGTAAGGCTCTTCCCATCACTACTTTCACTGTGGGATGCTTGTGCTACAGCACAGAAATAGACAGCTGAGTCTCTAGACGTCAAGGCTGAGATGGTGAGCTCTAGGGTTGGTTTCTGAAACACCACAGAATATCGTCCTTCCCTTGACAACCTGCGGTCAGAATGTAGTTGAATGATGTGAGTCATCTCTCCACTGGAAAGCTGTTGATACCAGTACATCATATAGTAAGCATAACTGACTGTGATTTTGCAGTCCAAGGTCACAGAGTCTCCCTCTTGCCTGTACACTTCATTTGTAGGTTGAATGATTCTCTGTGTATTGCTGGAACCTATAGGAAAGAAGCAAAAAAATTACCTGTGACATTGCTCACAAGAAACCATCACAAATAGCCAGGTTTTGACTCAGAAGATAAAGTGGAGAAAAACGCAGTCCAGTTCTGTTCCAACTTCTCTCCCAACCCTCCTTCCTCAGGCCCCGGCTTCAGGTTCGCGGGCTCCCTACCAAAGCAGATGAAGGCAAAGACTGCGCACAAGAGAGCAAGTGGTCCGGGCTGCATCCTTGGGGCTCTTCCTACTGGTGAAATGGCTCTTATTCTGCCGGCCACCTGACAGGCTTTTGAAGTGTCACTGGAGCTGGGTGGTCCTGTGGTCTTGCTGCTGCAGAGCCGGAAATGGGGTTTCTGCACATGCAAGCTTAGTCATGTCACCTGCTGTCTGTGTTTCCCTCCTGCCTCTCTTCCTCCAGGTCTATTACTTTTCTGAAATAAGTATATAACACGGAATATATTTTTTGATTATGAAAGAAAACTTACTTAATGTAGATGTAACCAAAAAGTATAAAGGAGATAATAAAAATCCAACTACAATACCATTATTCAGAGATAAAAACTGTTAACACTTTGCTGTGTTTCTTTCAGTATTTTTAATATAAACATGCATGCTTCAAAGGAATTGGTATCATATTGCAATCTTGTTTTGTTTAACATCATATATCTGAATATGCCATCATGTCATTCAATCATACGTGAAAATACGGTTTTTATAGCTTCAAACTGATCTGTTGTGTAAGTGTACTGTAATTTGTTTATACATCATTATTCGACACTGTTTAGTTTCCTGTTTTGAGTATTCTAAATAAGATTTACTGGACACTATAATTATGTCTTTGCATTTCTGATGATTTATTTATACGTTAACTAGGTTAAGTTTTTCATTATGGGAAATTCAAACATCTGCAAAAGAAGAGAGAATAATGTAACAAAACGACATATACCCATCATCCAGCTTCCACAGTTATCAACTCATGGCCAATCTCATTAATCGACACCCCCACCACCATACATATCTACATACCTCCCCCAATCCTGATTAGTTTGAAGCAAATCCCAGACATCGTGGTGTTATGTACTTTATTCAGGAGACTCACAATGTGAGATTGCCTTTAGTCTCTTGTGTGTCTGATTGTGTGTGTGTGTTCTGTTAGTGATTGTTGATAAACAATGACTACATCTATTGTTTGATTGGGAGTTGATTTGCAAAATGATCTTCTATCATTTCTACTTTTATTAGCTGAAATGTCTCTATAATTTTTTCCTTGTCAGTTATTTTCTTACTCTCTGAGGTTAGATGTATGATTCTTTCCATTTATCAGTTTTCAGGATAATGATGGTTCCCCTGTAGGGTAAACTCCCATCCATGTGTGCCTGAGATGGAGGGGTTTCCCAGGACATAAAGCTTTCAGTGCTAAAACCTGGATAGTCCCAGGCAAATCCCCAGGCAAACCAGGACAAATCTCCAAACGTAATAGAGGAGAATTATTTTGTGATCCCATGGATTTAAACATACTTTATGTGTTTCAATCTATTAAATTCATTATCTTGTTGATGCAGGAATTGTCACATCTTTAGCCAGCAGAAATCTTTTCAGGTTGGCTCCTGAGTCCTTTTGACATGGACTTGTAGTCTTTGATAGCTTCATAGTTTTCTGTATGACCAGATATTGTAGGCTCATTTCCTACATTTCCTCCCCCAGAAATGGAATCAGCCATCTATGATTAATGATAGTTATGTTTTTTCCTTTCTAGTCCTAAAGTTTTTCTTATTTTACTGTACTTGTTAAGACCTTTAGTGCAATGTAGAATAGAAAGGATAATATTGGAATTTTATTTTCAAGTTTTTAAGGGAATGCTTTTAACATCTCACTTTAAAAACAAATTCAAAGATTCACTTTTTCAGATTAAGGAAGTTCCCTTTTCTTCCTAATTTGCGAACAGATTTTAATTATAAATACATGTTAAACTTGACCAAATCACTTTTCCTCATTTAGTGAAAGAATTTTAGAGTTAAGGTATTCATGTGGTATGTTGCACTGATATTAAACCTTCCTCATACTCCTGGGATAAATCCTAATTGATCGTGGTGTATTAGCATTACTTTCTAATATTCAGTGTTAATTTGATAATGTTTTTAGGAGCTGTCATATCTTTTTATAAGTAATATTGGTCTATAATTTTCGTTTGTCGTCTATTTTTGTTTGTTTTTGTCATTGTTCTCTTGGTCTCATAAAAGGTGTCAAGTGGCTTTCCTGTTTTTATTACTTTCAGTACTTAGGTACAGTTTGTATAACACAGAAATTATTGGTCTTGGGTTTGATGTAACTTGCTTGTAAAACGGTATGTATGTATAGAGTTTTAAATTTCTTGAATTCACATTTAAATTCAAAATTTCTAATTTTTCTGATTAGTTTTGCTAGATTATGACTTCTAGAAAGTTTTACGTTTTGTCCAAGTATTCAAATTTCTTTCGATGAATTTATTCCATGCATTTTCTTGTAATTATTTAAAATTTTCCTGTGCCTATAGTTATCTTCTTTTATGCACTATTTTTTGGGTCCACCTTCTTTATTTCCTTGACAGATCTCATGAGAGATTTATCTATTTTCTAATTCGTTTCAAAGGACCTTTTAAAATTGATCCTTCCCATTGCTGCTTTGTCTCTATTTCATTAATTTTAACTCTTATTCTTATTATTTTGTTCCTCCTAATTTTCTTGTTTACTCTTACTCCGTTTTTAAACTTTTGAATTGAATGTTAAGCTCATTATATTCAGTTTTTTAATATATATATTTAACATATGTAATTTTTAAAGTAAAAATAATGCTTTTTATGTGATATACTTGACATAAAACATGATATAAGTTTAAGGAAAAGTTGGTAAGAGAGTAAATCTTAAAAGCTCTCATCACAAGAAAAAAAATCTGTAGCTGTGTATGGTGATGGATGTTAACTAGGCTTATTGTGGTGATCATTTCACAATATATACAAATATCGAATCATTTATGTTTAATATATTTTTAAGGCTATAAAATTTTATCTGTGTGCTTTGGGTTCATCTCACAAGTGTGGAAATGTCGACCTTTCATTGTTTTTCATTTGCAAATATTTTAACAATTCTATTATGATTTCCTCTGTGGTTTGTGAACTATTTATGTGTGCATTTCTTTTTATTTGATGTTGGTTTTTTACTAATAGTATCTAACTTTTTCCGTTGTAGTAAAAGAACATAATCTGCATGATATTGATTCTTTAATACTTGTTGAGATTTGCTTATGTCAATTTGTGGTCAATTTTCTGATTATTTCTTTAGCGTAAATTTATAGATGTAGAATTGTTGAGTGAAATAATTTTATATATATTAACAAATTAGCCTCTAGAATCATTTTACAAATTGATATTTCTATAGCATCACTCTAAGAGTATTTGTTTCATGACATCCTTAGATGCGCCAGAGTCTAATGCTTAAAAATTATTTAACAATTTGTAGAGAAAAAAAATTTTCCTGTCATTTTACTGTGCATTTGTTTACCACTGAAGTTGCATTCTTTTCATATTTTTATTTCTTAAGTTGGAAATTATTTGTTCATATGCATCTTCATTTTTTAAATTGCCATGTTGTTTTTCTAATTTCTTTGTAAAAATACTTTATTTTTTTAAGGATATTAAACAGGTTTGTTTATAAAAGATCATTGTCTCAGAGTCCACTACTGATTCTCAACCAGATATGTAGGCAGTTGAATTTTTATTATGTCAGTGTCTGAGCTCCTTGAGCTAACCATGTCCCTGGGCCCTCCCAACCCCAGAACTCACCATTACCCTGATGTACATTTACATATAAACCACAAACCTTCTGTGGCCTTTATCTAGGTGGTTTTCTGACAATAGTTCAGAAGACTTTGAGATTCTGGCGGCTGAAATTGTCATTCCAGAAGAGACAACAATAACCTGAGTATCAATGGGTGCATGTAAAGATTAGGATGACCTGTTCAGAAAAAGGAGACAACTTTTTCTGGCCAAGTCATTCTTCTGAGAGGAGTTTGTTATAAAGGATGAACTTGTTACAAAGGGAATTCTATCCAAAGAAATGATAGTAGAATGGGGAGGTTCTCAGAATGAAGAGGTTTACAAGCCTGGGGTTGAGTATAAGACACTAGGTGGGAAAATTGTACCTGTAGGAAGGAAACAGTTGGTCACAGAGTTTCGTAAAATTCAGGAGGATTTTAAAGAAAATCTGCCTTCAATGACCTCAATATTATTCAGGCTTCTAATTCTCAGCCCTATTCTTTTCTGTTCTAAATTCAGGCCTCTCACCAGTCCCCAGGGAGTGTCAACATGGTCTCATTGCTCTCAGTCACGTTAATGGGCAGGATTGCCCCCTGGAGGCCAGACAGAGAAGCAGCCTCCTTAACGTGTTCTAGACCAGTGGTTCTCAAGCCTGGCAGCACATTAGAGTAAATCGAGGAGCTTTAAAAAATGTGCTGAATGGGGCCAGCCCGGTGGTGCAAGCGGGTAAGTGCGTGCACTCCGCTGCGGTGTCCCGGGGTTCGCCGGTTCGGATCTCGGGCATGCACTGACGCACCGCTTGTCAAGCCATGCTGTGGCGGCATCCCAAATAAAGTAGAGGAAGATGGACATGGATGTTAGCCCAGGGCCAGTCTTCCTCAGCAAAAAAAAAAAGAGGAGGAGGATTGGCAAGTCTTAGCATAGGGCTGATCTCCTCACAAAAAAAAAAAAAAAAAAAAATTGTGCTGATTCTTGAGCCCTAGACCAGTGTGGGGACACATTCCAACATCACCATATTAAAGTTCACACACATAAAAAATACAACAGAAATGAAAGCAGTTGCTCTACAATAAATCTAAACATGAAAAGCAGCAGAATTACTAATAACAGGAAGGTGATTGAAAGAAGATGTTGGGAGAGGGAAAAAGGAGACACTTTATCTGTAGGTTTGTCAGTCTGGGAGGGAACTAATTTTACAAAATCTAACAGTGAGACTTGAAATTTGAGTATGGCAGATTTTTGGTGTATATTTATGATGTTTTCATGAAGGTGCTTATTTTTGTACATATAAATTGACTGTTGATTAACTATGTTTGGCCGCCTAATTCTCAAACCTTTACTTTTCACTCAGCTTTCCCTGGGCTCTGGGTGGCTGGAGTATGACCAGGGGTCAACAACTCTGAGCTACCAACTAAAACCTCATTGAAGACTTGATTGTAACACCTGAAACCATAAACCTCTCTGTAGAAAATATAGGTAATACATTCTCTGACATCAGTCTTAGCAGTATCTTTTTGAATACCAAGTCTACTCAGGCAAGGGAAACAAAAGAAACAAATAAATGAATGGG